GCTTGCAAGGCAGGCGGCAGAACCACTGAGCTAAATCCCTGGCCCTGTTTGTTTTGTTTTTTGAGACAGGGTCTTGCTTTGTAGTTTAAGCTGGCAATGAACTCACTATGTAGCCCAGCCTGACCTTGAACCCTCAGTGATCCTCCTGCCTCTGCCTCCCGAGTGCTGGTATTACAGGCGTGTACCACCATACCCAGCTCAGAATGAATGAAATTTTTTTTTAAATAGTCTGGGCTAAGAGATAGCTCAGTGGTACAGCACTTGCCTAGCATGTGTGAGGCCTTGGGTTTAATCCCCAGCACCAAAACAAAACAGCCAGGCAAGGCTTTTTAATTCTGGGGATTGAACCCACAAGCCTTTTTTATTTTTTATTTTGAGACAGATCTTGCTAAATTTCCTAGGCTGCCTCAGCTTCCCAAGTGCTGGCAGGCACCACCGTGCCCAGCTCTAGTTTTCTTTGTTTTGTTCTCTGGTAGTGGGGGTGCAACCCAACACCTGGCCCACAGTAGGTAAACACTGTGCCTCTGAGCCATATTCTGCCTCCAGGCAGTTTGGGGGTTTTTTTTGGTACCTGGGATCAAACTTCCGACCTTGCGCTTTTGAGGCAGGCACCGGAACCACTGAGCTAAATCCCCAGGCCCTATCACATTAAAAGATTAATATGTGCACCTAGTTTCATCCAGAATTAAATTTGAAAAATTCATGAGTGATATTAAAGTTACTGTCCTAACAGACTGTCTCAGTCAATTTATGTTATGAAATAAGAAGAACTTGCAGCAGGACGGACATCAAATTTTAGGCCCAGCTCAATACCAAGCTTTGGGGGTCCTAACAAAATCATTATCCCTAAACCTCAGGGTCTTCTTATATAAAATAAAGATATTTAGTATAGGGTTGATAGCTCTAAAGTAGCACCAAAAATGTAAGATATTATAAGCACTCAGATAAAATTCTTCGTTAGAATTATATAAATATGATCATCATTAGTATTTTTGGAACACTCATTTACTTTTTAGAAAATACAAGTATGAAATTTAAAATAGGCAGTACTCTCATATGACACACTGGACATATGACATGCTGGAATTACATGAATTACAAATCTTTCAGAGATACAATTTCCTAAGATTTCAGTAGATACCCTTTCGTTCTGCTTTTCCCAAACCAAGCCCCCCACTGCCCCATGATTACACTGTGAATAATGTAAGTTACCTTTTCAAAGCTGAAAAAGTTAGTAGTGTTTCTAAATGTGCTGAAGCCTGAAGATCCCTCTTCCTTACAGAGTGCTGCTGGATGCTAGATAAAGAGAGGATGTCGTAGTCTGAGAGCAAAGAATCCAGCCTCTCTGAAATAAAGGTAAAAAGGTTATTAGCATCCACCCCTCAGAATCAGTTGTACTATCAACAACATGAGTGGGCCAGGCGATCAATGCACCCTGATGTAATGCATTACAAAGTGCCCAGATGCCTAGCTTGACCACGGAAATGTTCTTATGAAAAAATGAACCCAGCCTGCCCTGCAAGCGCAAGGACCCGAGTTCGATCCCTGGTACCAAAAAAAAAAAAAAGAAATGAACCTGGCCAGGGATTTAGCTCAGTGGTGCCACCACCTCCCTTGCAAGAGCAAGGTCCCAAGTTCGATCCCTAGTACAAAAACAAAAAACAAAAAAAACTTGAATCTAAGGAAGATCTTAGTTCCAGTTCTCAGGCAGCAAAGAGAGCAGATGCTGCCAAGTTAAGCAACAACTACAGGAAGCAATCAGCCACACCCAGAATTTTAGAATTCCTGCAGAACAGATGACCCAATTTCTTCAGGAAGTAAATGGCGGGGGAAAGAAGGGAGGGGAACAGAGAGAAGAGATTCAGAATTCAACAAGATCACAAGGTGTGAATCATTATGGTTCCTAGGTGAAGAAGGCAGCTTTGGGAAGAAACCTGAGCCAATCAGGGAAATGTGAACGGACTGGGTGTTAGATACTAAGCATCCTGATAAAGCAGAGTACCCCTAGTAGACCATGAGGTGACTTCCAGCTAAAAGGCTCTCTGCTTGCTTGTCTAGAATTCTGAAACCAAAGTGGCTGACTGGACCTTTCTCGGCCAACCCAGAGTCCATCAGTTCCTTCCAGCATAGGTAGTAAGAAAGCACAGCAAATGGATGAATGGCCTGGGAGACCACAGCTGGGAAAGCACACCTTTTCCACAAAAACCACGTATTCCAAATTAAAAAGAAAAAGCTGGTAGTATCCTGTCACTGCTGCCTAACAGACATGCAGGGTATCACTCTGACACCAGAAGTACACTTGGTAAGACCAAACTAATCCCTAGAAAAAAATCAACATGAAGTATTTCACCATAGTCACCCAGGAAAAACACACTCACAGTCCCTAAAGCCATGAAACATACAAACAAGGACTTTTCCCCTACTGGGATTGAACCCAGGGCCTCACCTATTTAGGCAAGTGCTCCACCACTGAGTTTTGTTTTGTTTTGTTTTTAAAAAAAAAAAGGGCCGAGGATGTAGCTCAGTGGCACGGCACCTGCCTTCTAAGAGCAAGGTCCTGAGTTTGATCCCCAGTACACAAATAAACAAATAAATAAATTTATTTTGAGACAGGGTCTCTCTAAGTTGCCTCAAACTCCCAATCCTCCTGCCTCATCCTCCTGAGAAGCTAGAAGTACAGGTGAATGCCACCACACCCCGTAAAGTAAGTTTTTATTCAGTTCAGAGCAACTACAATAACATATACACTATACAGTATTCATAAATCATCAACAGAAACTCTGATGCTGTCTTCAAAATCAGGATTTTTTTTTTTTGGTACCAGGGATCGAACTCGGGACCTTGCACTTTCAAGGCAGGCAGCAGAACCAAAATCAGGATTTTTAGAAAACATTTGTGACTTCAATCTCCTTACAAAGTGTCTAAAAGTATTTGAGCCAATCCTCTTCTTTCTCAACAAATACTAAAGCAATGGTATTCAAAATCATTCCAACATCCTCAAAATATAGAAGGAGGAGGGGTGGGGGATTTAGCTCAGAGGCCGCCTCCTCCCAATTGCAAGGTCCCGAGTTCTATCCCCAGTACCAAAAAAATCCCAAAAAACAATATAGAAGGAGGAGCATAAAATACATGTTCACTGCTTTTGTGTGTTTTGTATTTTTTTTTGGTACCGGGGATCGAATTCGGGTCCCTGTGCTTGCACAGCAGGTGGCGAAATCACTGAGCTAAATCCCTGGCCCACACGTTCACTGCTTTTGACATAAAATATGCTAAAGAAAAGTTTTAAAACACAGAATTATCCAATAAGCATTACATTGAGAGATAAACCCACCGGTTTTCTCCTTGGCCTTCCCTTACATGTCCTTGACCAGTTCATTCATTAATTCATTCATCCCAGACATGTAAGCTGGGCACCAAGTCCAAGTGTTGAATAAAACACCACGAGAGTGGAACAAAGTATGGGCCTGACAGAGCACGAGTCTCGATGTGGGAGACAGACAATGCCCAAGAATACATAAACTATGTCAGTGCCACGGCCACTCAAGCACAGTGAGACACACGGAATGGACAGCTGCTGCAGAGCGGTCAAAGATGGAGCGCTGCCTCACTGCTATAAACAACGAGCAAACCAGAGAAAGCAAGGGGCAGGCACGCTGCTACCTCAGGAAGTAAGTTTAATCGAAGTCCATTCACAGTTCTAAATCAAACAAGAATAAAGTGGCAGCAAATTTTGCACTTGCCAAATACAGCTCATTTTCTGTTAACAAAATTTCCTCTGAAATGCTCAAGCTTTAGTGATGTGAGAACTGTGAAACTCCTTGAAAATAGTCTAACTCAATCACGCATGGTGGCACACACCCGTAATCTTAGTGTGAAGGAGGCTGTGGCAGGAGGATAGTTGGGAGTTCAAGCCCAGTATGGACTACACAGGGAGACCCTCTCTCAAAACTAAATAAAATAGCTCATTTATAGTCTAACTCTTCTGTGATGTTCTACTTGATCTCCTGCTTTCTGATACATCAAACTGATGTGGCCTCTCCTCCCTCTGAATCCCAAAGCCCTTTGTTTTTACTTTTCTTTTGGCGCTTTCTGGTTATGACACTGTCTTGCCTCACAGACTGTGAAAAGGAGATTTTGCTTAGTATCTGTACCTCCCAACACTCAGCGGGACCCTGGAGCCTCCCAGCACCCACATTCACATGCAGCAAATCCTCAAAGCCCAGACAGACAGCCCTTGAGCTCCTTGCTGCCCTTTTACAGGTTGCTCCACAAACTCGGTTTCATTCAAGATTGTAATCGCTCCTCCTGACTTGGAAACTCAGCCCCAATGCTGCAGTTTCACAGTCAACGACACGGGCCAGTTCTCAGAGTGTGGTCCCCACACAGCAGCACCAGCCTGGCCTGGGTCTCCCAAGACCACTGAAGACCACTCGCGTCTGTGAGGAACAAGCCTCCCAGACAGTGCCCATGCACACCCAGTGTGAGAGCCATGCACAAGGCGGGAACAGCGGTGCTGTCTGCAGTTGCATCTACTCCACAGGCTGAGGTGGGAGGACTCTGGGAGTGTGAGGCTGGCCTGGGCAACACAGCAAGACCCCATCTCATTCAAAGAGAGAAGGCGACCACCGTGCCACACCAAAATGAGAAAACAGCTCAAAGTGAAGGCAAAAACCTTTATGCACACAAGTATTCACGCATTATTTTTTTTTTTGGTACTGGGGATCGAACTTGGGACCTTGTGCTTGCAAGGCAGGCAGCAGCACCATTGAGCTAAATCCCCGGCCCTCATGCATTATTTTTAAGAAAGCCCAGAAACAGGTAAATTAGCAATGAAAAATAGTTGATAAGTTATTGAACCTTCAAATGACAGGGAATAAAACTGGCAACTATTTAAAATGCTGTATACAATGAGCTTTTAAGAACATGAGAAGCCAGCCATGGCCATGCACACCTGTCATCCCAGCACTCTGGGAGGCTGAGGCAGGAGGATCACAGGTTCAAGTGCAGCCTGGGCAACTGGGTGACTAAACAAGACCTTGTCCCAAAATAAAAAAAATTTAAGGGGCTAGGGATGTAGCTCAGTGTGAAGGCCCTGGGTTCAATCCCTAGTATCCCCCCCCCCAAAAAAAGGGAAAATATTTATGCTAAAATGTTAACTAAACAAAGGAAGACTTAAAAAAACCTATTCACACTGCATGATCTTAACTGTATAAAAATAGGTCTGGAAAAAACATACAGGAATATAGTAACATCCTTGGTTATTCTGGGTGTGTTTTCTATAATAAGCACTTTTTAAATGTAGCTTGCTACACACTTTAAAATACTTTAATATGTTTCCACTGCAATTTACTCTCCTTTAATAACTACATATCCCAAATTGGATGTCCTGCAGCCATAAGCACCCTCGTGAAAACAGCTCTCTCTGGACCCGTGGAGCCACACTGCCTGCAGCACTACTCTCTGGGAGCCACGGCGTCTCAGACACTCAGTCCTCCAGCGACTTCTCAACTTCCCGAGTCTAACAGCTGGAATCACAGTTTCCTGCAGCCTTATGGGCTGGACTTCTCTCTCCCCCCACTTCTGGAAAGTTTTTCTCTCATCCACACCCAAATCCCTCTCACACATACACAGGCCCAGCCTATGTGAGGCCTCGGGTTTGACACCCAACAAGCAGGAAGAAACCACCACGCTGCTTACACAGAATTCAGCAGTCAGTACACACAGTGCCATCAAGTGCTCTTTCCAGAACTGTGACACCAGGGGAAGAGACCACTGCACTGCAAGTAGTATAGAGCATCGTCATCTGCCTGCCGACAGAGGAAGCTGCAGGGAGTTCTAGACTGACTGGGTAGGGCCATGGGTCTGCTCAGACGGCCAAGGGTGCTTTCCCGGAAGCAACATTAACATAAAAGGATGAGCTGGGGCTGAGGGCAGGAAAGAAGGGACGAGTTCTATGTAGAGGTCCACAAGAAACAAAGAACAGGATACTCAAAGTGAAAGCAAAGCAGGGCTCCCGTACCGCAAAAAAAAAGAAAAAAAAACGTATTTGAAGAAATAAAGACCGAATTTTTTTTTAAATGCTGCATGCCTGTAATCCTAGCACCCTGGGAGGCTGAGGCAGAAGGATTGCAAATGTGAGCTCACCCTGGGAAACAGTGACTTAGCAACACCTGTCTCAAAATTACAAATAAATTGACCTGGGCGTGTAGCTCAGTGAGAAGGTATGGAGGGGTGGGGAAGAGCAGCACAGCAAGAATATGATGAGGTGTAAAGCTGGACAGGCCAGGGCAAAGGGCTGCAAATGAAATTAAGGATTTGAAAAAAAATAAATTAAGGATTTGGAGTGGATAGGGGAAGAGCTGCAAGTTAGAAATTTCAGCGTGGAGAACGGGACTGGGGGGGGGGCTGGAGGGGTCCCGGGTCCGAGAGCTGTGGGGCAGGGGCTGCACCCTGCAAGGCAGCAGAGGTCCGCATTCGCCTTGTTCCTCTGAAACAATCTGCAATCCATTCTCGCTCACAAGGGACTTGTGCACACTAAGTCCTCGTCTAAGTCTCTCCCCTGCGTTACTGATATACCACACCGTGAACCCAGGCTGACAAGCAAATCCATGCCACACTGGGATGCTCACCACTGATACCAGTGGACAAAAGCAGCTGACACTTAGTCTCTTCTAAAAGAACAAAACAGAAACACTGACCTTCAGGCCTGCAGCTACACTTCTACTCCACCCTTATCTTCACACCTGAAGGACTGTCTCTGCGATAAACCTTCAAGGCCCCTGACCTTAGTACAATGACCAGCCTAATATTTCAACTTTTAAAAAGTGTGTATAGCCAGGCGTGTGGTGCAGGCCTGTAATCCTGGCTACCCAGGAAACTGAGGCAGGAGGACTGTAAATCTGAGGTCAGCATGGGCAACTTAGGGAGATCCTGTCTCAAAAAGGGCCAGCAGCAATGCAGCTTAGTGGAAGAGGACTCTTGGGTTCAATCCTCTGTAAGGCCAAAAAAACAAAAAAAGTGTGTATATGATTTTGAGGTGTACATAAGCACATATACATATAGTTGTATACAGAACTGTCCCTCCGTATTTGAGGGTAATCTGGTGAGATGGTGAGGGAAACCAGGGCAGTGGGTGAAACTCATCAGAGTCTACAACTTATGTTAAGAGGAGAGAAAAAATAGGAAGTGGGGAGGGAGAGAGATACACACTACTATGGGAGAGTTTAGGGCCAAGAGATACAGTACCTGAAAAGCCTTTCATTTCACTTCTCTGACTCGAGACTTTCCTGTCCCCCTTCCCAGTAAATCTTCCTCAGACTTTCTTCAAATTACCCTCTCTCACAAATACAAATGGTGAAGGATCCTAAAATCAACCACAAATGATCTGAAAGGACACCAACACTTGATATTCTGGAAAACACTGTGAAAGTCAAAGGACTCCTCCAGTTACCTGCCATGGCTCTCTGCTTAGGTCTTCATTCTGTCCTAGAAATACAGCCAGCAGATCGTTTTGACTAATACAAAGTGGGTTACATCTTATCTCCTTGCAACAGGTAGGGTGGTTACGTGTTTAGCTTTCAAGAAAACTGCAGCTTATAAGCAAAATTAATATGAAAAGAGGAAGCCAGATATCAGAGTCCCGAAAAAAAAGAGCTGGCCATGGTGGCACACACACCTGTAATTCCACCTGAGGCAGAAAGATATCAAGTTCAAATCCAGTCCTGGCAATTTAGCAAAAGCCTGTGGAAAAGTAAAAATTTTTTTTAAAAAGTCAAGGGATGTAGTGCTGTGGTAGAGTACACTTGGGTCAGATCAGATCCCTGGTACCACAAAAAAACGCCAGTAATAATAATGAAATGAGCACTTCTACAGAGAGCCCCATGCCAATAAGCCCAAGGTAAATTTTAAAATACACGTTTCAGATACAACTGTTCGCCCCTCATCTGTGACCTCTATTTTTTCCTTCCACCCACCACATCCTTTTATTAAAAGTAATTCAAAGGGAAAAGTTTTGAAATCAAAGTGAGACTTATACATCCCAGCTGCAACTTCAACAAGATACCATCATGTCTAAGCTCACATGACTGAGTACTTTCCTAAATTATGCAATTCATAAAAGTTCAGATGAAATCACTAGGGGTGACCTGTGAAGTACTCCAAAAGCCAGGCTTCTCTTTAAAGTATATAAACAAAAAATATGTATTTGCTTTCAGAAAAACATCATATACCTAAATATTGACACCTGCAAGACAAGTAGGCTAATACATAATAAACTACGCTCTTTTAACTATGAACTTATGGTCAGTCTTGACCACTCAATCTAAATAATCGGAGGATTAAGCTAACAAACAAACAAACCCATTAACAAAGTCATTCTTCAAATGCTCACAAGGTGTGTGTTCATCACTATGTGAACCTGACCACTCCATCTTTTTGAGACCCATTTTTCCCACTGATTAAAAAATTAAGGCCGGGGATTTAGCTCAGTGGTTCCACCGCCTGCCTCAAAAATGAAAGGTCCCGAGTTCGATCTCAGGTACCAAAAAAAAAAAAAGACTTGGTCTCTGGGGCCCACATCACTCTGTGAGAAGTGACAGTCTCTTCCTTCTGCCATCAAGGTGCCTTATCTCCCCACTTCACCTACCTCACCCTAAAGTCTGGGCTCAGTGTCATACCTTCTTGGACACACCCGGTGCCCCTCACAGTAATAACCGCCAGTGTGAGACCTCATGCTGTCTCCCACGTTGTTTTAGAAGTGTCTGTTTAGATCTTTGCATGGGTCTCTATTCTACCAGGCCATAAACTTTTTTTTTTGGTACTAGGGATCAAACTCAGGACCTTGCACTTGTCAGGCAGGCACAGCGCCACTGAGCTAAATCCCAGGCCCAGGCCATAAACTCTTAAAGATGGATATCACCTGATTTTTGTACTTCCAATGCCATGCATAATACCTGGCAGACAATATAAGTTCAGATATTGAATGAATAAATGGGTAAGTCTATGCATGCTTCTGGCACCAATAGTCTCCACTTTCCTAATTTGTATTTATTTATTTTTGTTTTTTTGAGACAGGGTCTTGCTGTGTAACCCAGGGCAGTCTTGAACTCTAAGCGATCCTCCTGCCTCAGCCACCCCAATGCTGGGATTACAGGTGTGCACCACCATACCTGGCCACTTTCTTAATTTTAAAAACCATTGTCAAAAAAACTTTACAATCTGTGAACATTGGTAAGAATCAATCTAGACATGCTCGCTTCAGCAGCACATACACTAAAAGAATCAATCTAGAAAATAACTTTTTTCCCCTACACTGTGTGCTTCCCTAGAATTCATGCTTATTTTTTTCACCTGTGAATGAGTATAATAAAAGTTGTCAAAATGGTGAAAACATGTAATATCTCAAAATACATGCTTATACTTTTTATTAACATTTATCCTTAAAATGAAGCAGGTCCTTAACGTAACCATCATCCTCAGCCATACTTCCAAATCTGCCTTCAACTTGCAACAACTCATCACATCTCAGCACTTTCTAACTGCCTTCCTTTAAACTAGTCACTTGTAACCCATTTCAAAATGAGATAACAAGAAGGCAGTTATTTGGGTTCGAACACTCAACACCTTTAATATCCCCATCAGTCAGTTACTCTTTTCTATTAAAGTAAGAAAAATTCTGCCAGGTAACTAATTCAAAAATGTTAAGCAGCCATAAAGAAAACCTACAGGGTCTCAATCTGCACAATACATGGACCCGTGGAGGGATTTGGGGACCAGGACAACCAGGAAAAATGACAAGACTCAACTTCACACACTGGATAATGTACTGTTTCACATTTTATTACTGATTAACCAAGCAGTATTACCAACTTCTAAAAGACAAACGAAAAATGGAAACAAAGTCTTTGTAAATAGAGAAGAATGTAGGTATTGAAGGGAGAGCAGGGAAATGGGGAAAAAATAAGAATCAAGATATATTATGTAAAGGCACAAATCTCCAATGATGAATGTCATTATACTGTATACCTAAAACGTACCAATAAAACTTTAAAAAAGAAAAGACAAACGACACTAAGATACACTGTTAAACTGACATGAACTACCACCAAACTTCACATTTCACGCATGCTCACTGTTAACATCCAATCTAGAAAAATCTAAAACCCGCTGTCTTCCAGTTCAAGCTGTTCACCCTTGATAATTTCTTTAAAACTGCGAGAAAAGCTTTCACAGGGGCAGCCTCAGCCTGGCAGGTTTTTAGCCTTCTCCAATCAATCACCTTCAATAAGCTACAACTGCTTCGCCTGGTGGTCCACACACTGCCATCCCAGCACTTTAGGAGGCTGAGGCAGGAAGTTCACAAGTTCAAGTTCTACCTAAATAACTTAGCAAGACCCTGTCTCAAAATAAAAAACAAAAGGGGCTAGAGATGTAGCTCAGGGAAAGAGCACCTCTGGGTACAATCCTCAGTACCACACACACACACACACACACAAATCTAGTTTTAAGAAAGTGCTTAGGATGATCGCAAAACCCAACTCCAAGATTCCAAATCCAGGCAGAAAACGCTGATGAAGCTGCTCCAGCCACCGTCTCCCAGCCTAAGTACCTCCTAGTAGAAACTCTAGTTTGCTCCACGGAACCAGGAAGGACTCCGGAGCCTCTGGCCCGAGGAACACACGCTACGCCAGATTTATTTTTTTCTTAGCAAGAGAGGGACCTCGGCCACACCTGCCAACCCCACGAATCACCTCTTTTCCAAACACCCCAGAAACACAAACCCGGGCTCAGCGCCTCTCAGAACTCGGGTCGAGCCCGGGGCCCTTTCCTACCAAAGGCACAGCGCAAGGAGCCACACCCCCTCCTGAGCCGAGCACTGGGCGCGCCGCGGTCGCCACCACCCCGCCCCCAGACACCTGACGGACCCGGCTCCCGCTCCCTCCGTGTCAAGCACGCCCCACGCCCCTCCGTGCCTGGCCCTCACCGAGTCGCTGGTGGGAGCCGGAGCCCGACGCGTCCGGGGGTCGTGGCGCCAGCACGAGAAGAACCAAGCTGGCCAGGAAGAGAAGACGCTGCCTCATGTTCCCGGCCCGGCCACCGGTCCACCTCTCTCGGCAGCCCTTCGGGGACGGGGTTTCAGAAAACTGCTCACATGGAGGGGAGGAGGGGAACCGCCCGACCCGGCCCTCAAATCTCCGCTCCCGCGCCGCCTATCGGGAAGATGCGAGAGGCAGGCTCCAGGCCCCCGGAAGCGCAGGCGGTGCTCCGAGAGGCCGGCTCAACCAGCTTCCAGCCGCCGACAACCCCCGCACCGCCCACAGTCGGAAGCCGGAAGCCGCGCGGCATGCCGGGAAGCCCCGCCCCACCGCTCCGCCATCTTGCCGGCTCGTAGCCGGTCCCGCTCGGCGTCCTGGTGAGGCTCGGCTGGCTCGACCAGCCCGGCCTCTCCTCTGTCCTCGGGTGACCGCGGAGGAGGAAGGCGGGACCTCTCGAGCCGCCTCCATCTAAATAGCCGCAGGGATTAGGGTCCCTGTTTACCCTTTCACAGGAGCTGGAAGATGCGGCCTAGCCCCGGCTGCGGCGTACGCGGAGGACCAGGACGCTCGTGGCTCTGTGCCGCAGGCCCTGCCGGGTGTGCTGGGGTGCAGGGCGGGGCGCGCGTCCAGCAGTGGTACTCTAGGAACGAGGCCCGCACCTCCTCGCCTGTCTAGTGTGTTTGGCCTTGGATGCAGATCAGATGCTCAGCTCGAGACAGAGAGCCCTCAGGCTCAACATTGTCACAAAAAAAGATTGGGGGGATGGGGGCGTGGTGGTGCACGCCTATAATCCCAGCACTGTGGGAGGCAGGAAGATCTCACGTTGGAGCCCAGGCTGGGCAACTTGGCGACTGTAGTGAGACCCTGTCCCCAAAAAAGGGTGCTCGGTGGGCGACGGAGTAAATAGGCGCTTTCTGAATACACTTTTGCTCCTTGGCCTCACTGTGGGCAGATGGTCCCAGCGTTTCCAGGAACTAAAATCCAGGACCTGACTCTGCCAGTGAGGACAGAAGCTGGACTCAGCCCACTAACGCCTTAAGGTTCAGACCTCTACTTGGTCTGTTTAGCTTGGACCGGACATTTGGGTTTTTTTCTTTTGTTTGGTACCGGGGATCGAACTGGGGTCCTTGCGCTTGCGCAGCAGGCGGCGAAACCACTGAGCTAAATCCCGGGCCCGGACCGGGCATTTCTTAAAACAGTACTTTGAGTAATTTTAGCTCTGTGTAGTTTAGTGTTTATGGTATTGAATAAAACATTTTAACAAGGTTGGATGTGAATTGTTATTTTAGCTCAGCTAAACACTATACAAATAGGACCCAACACATTTTCCACTTAAAAGTGGGTCAGCCATTATTATGAAATGGTAAATTGCTAACAGTAAAATAATAGTTCTGGTCAAGTTTCAAGCTTTGTTCCTTAAAAAAACAAAACAAAATAAACCTTACTGGTTTAAATTCATGTTTATTGTAGTACGCCCCAGTATAATCTTAGCATTACTTTCAAGATAATTGGTCTAGGCCAGGGAGTTAGCTCAGTGGTTCCAGCACCTGCCTCAAAAGCGCAGGGTCCTGAGTTCAGTCCCCGGTACCAGAAAATAATAATACTAATAATTGGTCTGTACAATTTTCACTTCAATCAATTGAACCTAGTCCATACCTGAGGTGCCTCCATTAAATGTACACATTGATGACCTACCTAATCAAAAAGCTGGAAGTTCCCCTCAGCAAATTGTGACAGCTGTGTACAGTTTTGCTTTCTTTTTGGGGGGTATACAATAGAAATTTAAGGCCGGGGATTTGGCTCCTTGCCTCCCTCACAAGCGCAAGGTCCCAAGTTCGATCCCTGGTACCAAAAAACAAAAAAAAAAGTTATCGTTTCTCTGGGCATCAACAACATACGCTCCAGCTGGTTATTTTATTTTTTGAGGCAGTCTTGTTATAGTTTAGGCTGACCTTGAATTCACTATGTAGCCTAGGCTGGTCTCAAACTCATGGCAATCCTCCTGCCTCAGCCTCCCAAATGCTGGGATTACAGGCGTGCATCCACCACCACACCCAATTTAGGTAAATTTTTTTTTAAAAATCCATTTTTGTCATAACTAGAAGCCCTAGAATTTAGGGGCAGTCCACATTTCAAATCTTTACCATTCACAACCTAAATTATGATTCCAATTTTCTTTCATCTATCAACTGTCCCTATTGTTAAGATAAAGGAGTACCACGTGGGGGAGATAAAGAGCCTGAAGATGGACTGGTGTAAAACTGGCAATCAAATCAGCAGTCTTCAAACTTTTATTTTCTTACTCTAAAAAGAATTCCTCAAAAAATTTAAAACTATGTACCCACTAGATACATTTTTTATTTTTTGAGACAGCATCTTGACTACATTGCCCTGGCTGGGCTGGAACATTCAATCATCCTGCCTCAGCCTCCCAGAGTGCCAGGATTACAGGATTGTGCCACCTCCGTACCCAGTTTAGGTAATTCTTTTACATTTTTCCACAGGACACTTCAGAGATTCTGTAGCCACTGTGGCAAGATGACCTTCAAGGACCCTGCTTCCTGAAACCAATCTTTGTGCAGTTGTCCTCTCACACCCTGGGCCACAGTGATGTGTGTGACCATTTACAACACATACAGCACAAGCCATTGGGTGTCACTTCCTAGATGAGGTTACCAAAGACCTGGTCCTTCATCACAGGTGTGGTCTGGCTCATTTTCGCAGGTGACACAGTCTAAGGGAAGCCAGCTTTCAAGTCACAAGGACACTCGGGAAACTTGCCGAAGGGTGGAAAGGAAGAGAGACCAGCCAATGAGCTGCAAGAAGCTCACACCTGCCAATGACAGTGTGAGTGGAGGGATTCTCTGCCCAACAAGCTCTGTGATCAGGGCAGCAAACACCCTGCAGCCTACAGAAACTACGAGATAAGAAATACTTGCTTTACACTCCAAGTTAGAGGTAACTTGTTACACAGCTATTAGCCTCTGTTCAGAAAATACATGGAGCCAGCTGTGGTCATGCTGGAAATCTCAGCACTTTGGGAAGCTGAGGCAGATCAAAAGTTCAAGGTCAGTCTGGACAATTTAGCAAGGCCCTGCCTCAAAGAGATAAAAAGGAATGGTGATGTAGCTCACTGGCAGTGCACTTGTGTAACATGCACTGAGAGTCAGTCCCCAATACTACAAAGAAAAAAAGTTATCTAGATCTTGGGTTCATCTCAAAGGTGATTTTTTGTGTGTGTGTGGTACGGGGGATCAAACTCGGGATCTTCCACTTGCAAGGCAGGCAGAAAGGTGATTTTTTTTTTTTTAATTTAAAATTTAGTAAAGATTAGTAAAAGCTTACTTGAGATTTACTGATCTCATTTTATGAAATTACTTGTTCACAACATAGATACTGCAAATGAATTTAAGAGTAAAAAGCATGTAGAATTTAAGAATAAAAGTAAAGAATTTAAGAATTTAAGAGTAAAAAGCATGTAGGCACATGCCTCTAATCATAGGACTCTGGGAGGCTGAGGCAGGAGGATCACAAATTCAAACTCAGCCCGGACAACTTAGCAATTTAGTAATACACTGGTTTCAAGAGAAAAAAGGATTGGGGATGTATCTAGTGTGAAGCCCCTGGGTTTAATTCTCAGTGCCACGTGCACACAAACACACAGTAAAACAGTATTTGCAGTTATTAAACATAGGCAGCTACATCCAGTTCTGCAGTTCTACAGTAAATACCCATACAAAAAACGTATAACTTTTACCTAAAATACCAGAGAAATACCTGCTTGGTTCCAGCTGAGCTGATCTGGTTTTGTGTTCTTACATTATTTGTGTGTTCTCTCTCTCTCTCTCTCTCAGGTTCTTGCTATTTAGTTCAGGCAGGCCTGGGACTCATGACAATCCTCCTGCCTCAGCCTCCCATGTGCTGAGATTACAGGTATCACACCTGGCGCTTTTTCGTTTTTTCAGTCACTTTTTCTTCGGTGCTGGGGACTGAACGCAGGGCTTCACACATGCTAGCCAAGTGCTCTACCACTGAGCTGCATCAATTTTTTTTTTTGGTACCAGGGATTGAACTCGGGACCTTGCGCCTGCTAGGCAGGCGACGGAACCACTGAGCTAAATCCCCGGCCCACGCTGCATCAATATCAAGCTACTTGTGTGTCTTATACCAATTCCACCTGTCATAGATTCATAGAAAGCCTAATCACTGTTTTGTTTTGGGGGGGTTTTTGGTATCAGGGATTAACTCAGGACCTTGCACTTGCAAGGCAGTCGGTGGCAGTGGCACCATTGAGCTAAATCCCTGGGCCCCTAATCACTCTTTAAATTGCTAATTATTTCTACAGCTTTTTGCCTTTTTGCTGATGAAGATAAGTGGGTGAAGCTAGCCCTCCAAGATCTACAAGTCAATCTATAAACCTACGTAAGATGCAATGCACTGGCTGTGCAAGTCATGTGCCAAGAACTCTATAGTTTCCAAGGTTTTAGTTCAGAAATGTTAACCTACTTAACATCCTTTTAGAGAGAAAAAAATTTAAACTATACATGGGACAAGGCAGAGCTATTTAAGGATCTTTTCTAATAAACACATGGTTCCTTAGGGAAATCTTTAATTGGCAAGAAAATAACCAGGCCTACTTGAAATGGAATAATATTTCCCCCAAAGTTTAAAATGGAACAGGAAATCAGCCATTTCATGAAGAAATGAATCATACTATTATTTCAGAGAGATAAATGTCTAAAATGTTAGTAACGGTTTCTACAGCCCCACACACATTTTTCTGCATCTTTATCAGGCATCCCAGTACTTGCTGCAGAATTATTTGCAGTGAGAACCCACACGCCATGTGGAGAACAAGGATGTACCCCTACCCTCTTGGCCACACAATAAGCTCTGTCCCTTCTTCAGTCCGTCTCTGTACCCTGAGATCGCAGAGTAATTGGGCCACATGAATAACTGAACAGAGTAGACTGGGTGGAGAGCACAAATGGAAACTAGTGCCGGTTTGAAATTACCTCAGGCCTGCAGCGGCATGAATCATTACTGTCCGGTGGACAAGCTGCGCCGGAGACTCACCAATTAACCTCCAGCTCCATGGCGGCTGGGGCCTTAAGCACTGAAAACCTGTTCTACCTCAGAAAAACCCCACTCAGTTGTTCAGTCTTCAAACTTTGATCATTGTACTAAGCATTTGACAAACACCAGAGACCCACATCAAACCTTTGCTCTCAAGGACTTATAGTCTAAAAGATGAAAGGTAGAGCCAAGTGTGGTGGT